AGTGTCCTCGTTGCAATGCTCCAGTCCCAGCTCATCCTGGAGTGTGTGCTGCCTGTGGTGAGAATGCTCATCAGTGTCAGAAGTGTCGTACTATTAATTATGATGAGAGAGACCCTTTCCTCTGCATATCCTGTGGATTCTCAAAGTACGCTAGGTTTGAGACATTAGTCGAGGGACGACCCACTTCAGCTGTTGACCCGATTGAAACTGAAGATGATAGAAAGAAGGTGAGAGAGAGAGAGAAGATACATGTACCTATTTTATATAACATGCTGATGTGGGTTAATACACCCTCCACCTTGGATAATTTAAATGGATATCACAGTATTTTACACTACAAGCCGTCTTATGTACCATTTTATGCAGTACATATACATGTATGTACAGTGCAATATTTTATTCACTACTATTATTTTATTCTGTAGACTTTGTTAAGTATTAATCAGTTGCTTGAAAGAGCTGATAAATATTACAAGGAGCTAGTGACACACAGAAATGAACTGGATCAGTTGTTGATATCCCTAGCTAGTGAACCAGTGGTATCTCAGGTAATAGAGAAAAAGAAATAATTGTTTTAAAATATAATTTATAAGTTTGTAGACTTGTCATATTAACAGTTCCTCTCTCTCCCTATTTTTTCTAGTCTTCATCAGACAGTGGTGTGAATCGTGCTATCCAGTTGGCAGCTCATTTATACTGTAACAGTTGTAAATCGTCTTACACTGACCTTAGCAAAATAATACAAGTAAATTAATAATTGAAAGACTCACTACACAATGGGACATAATCACAATTGAATACATAAATCTATTTTAATGTACTTACAAAATATCTGTTTGTCTCTCCCTCTTTCTCTCTCAGAGTGTTCTTGCTTCAAGAAGAGAGCTAGTTGCTTATGATATCAATAAACTTCATTCAGGGAAGGTTTCTCCTACTAGTGAGCCAGCAACACCACTCACTCCAATATCAGGGGAAGGAAGTGCCTTTTCTCTCTCGTCCCCAGTTTCCACTGCCCCCCTCAGCGAGGGAAATTGTTTTGGATGTGCTTCTGCGACACTAGAGCACTGCATTACTGTATTAAAGGCACTGGCTTTTAAACCAGAGACAAGGAAACTTATGAAAAAGGTAAGTGTGTGTTTCTTTTATGTCTTTTGTGTTCCCTCTCCTTCTTTTACTCTGTGCATGTACTGCTTGCTCTTATTTATTATTAGTATATCTTTGTATATCTCTGTATATTATGTACAGGACCTCATAGAGGAATTGATGGAGTTTAATTTAAGAACCGGTTCCGTTACTCTTCAGAAAGACGTTCAAGGACTGTTGTGTCAACTGACCAGGTTAGAGGGAGTGATCATGTGATAATTATGTGACCTGTTTGTGTTACTGTAGAGATGATTTGGAGTCGACTAGGAATTTGAATGAGTTCATAATGCAGAGGGTGCTAGCTAGTATCAAACCACAAAGGACGTCACCTAATCTTGTGAGATTATCATTATTATTATTATTATGTATATGTTATACACCTCAGTTAAGGTATCTATGGAATTTATTTACTGAGGGGTGCAGTAAATAAACCCATAGCTAGAAACCGAGACCCAAGGTGTATGACAGATCATATCTATAGCTAAGAAACTACCCATGATTAGCATGGTTTTATAAAGCAAAAAGTCTCTTTACTTTGTTTTATCTCCTAAGAATAAACGTGAAAGTATTTGTTTCCACTTGCGCCATGTGTGTACAGTAAAACATGTCCAGGGCACACCTTTACTATTCTACTCCACTCATTAAGACGTTAGCACATGGCCATATGCCTAGTGCTTTTTCCTCGGCTTTTATCTCTTTTGTATGTGCTTCGCTGCTTTTTTGGTACTTAAGACACTGAATGTAGCTATGTTTCCAGGTAAACAATAAGAAAACCTGTTTGCTCCCAGACTGTCTGTTATCCAAAACTTCCTGTTCCATACGATAGTCAATCCTTCACAGCGGCATCATATCTTGTACATGAAACTTAC